ATTTGAAATGCTATTAATGGATCTTCTAACCTTGACAACTGCTTTTATTATTGTTTCATCTTTAGATTAATCTTACATATCAAAGTTCTTTTTAACTCATCGTCACCATTATTATTATTTATTATTATTATTATTATTATTATTATTATTATTATATGGTTAACCTCCTTATGGTTCGACCTTGGTCTTGCCGGGTTATTTATTACTTCGATACTCCTACACTTGGGAGAAGACATCAATTTTTTTATCATGTCACTTATGAAAATAAACCAATTTCAAGAAAGCATAAACACTTGCTGAAGTTCTTTTTGAAATTTAAAAAAAAGATAGCTCGTTCATAAAAATAGATCAATCTTTGAATGTCAAAAAAAGCATGTCACTTGTGGAAATAGATATGTTTTTGAATAGGCAAGTTGTTCATGAAAATAGATCAGTGTTTGAATTTGAATGGGCAGGTTGACACAACTAAAATATTGATGTCTTCATAGCCCACACATAAGCAGCCAACACAATAAGAACACACTACATATGATAAACACATGGTAGGTCCTCGTGAATACAACAAACTAAAACTAGAAGCAAGTAACATAGATCAAGCTCCACAGTAACAACAATAGTACGAACAACAACAACAACAACAACAACAACAATAATAACAATAATGATGGTGGTGAAGAAAAGTTAAAGAGGACTTTGAGATGTAGAAATGGAAGATTAATGTAAGGATTAAATAATGATAAAAACAAATGTCAAAGTTAAAGGATCCACTAATGATATATCAAACAATTATAATATAAATTCTTATTACTCAATTAGAAATTACACGCAAAGGAGGTTCCAATTGAATTATAAATTATTAACATGATTACATTAGTTATCTTGTTCGAATAATGTTAATACTTATAAATATTGTCAGCTCCAGATATAATCTAATTACCAAACAGTATTCCAGTTTAGCTCCAGATATAATCCAGTTACCAAACAGTGTTCCAATTTAGACTGAACTAACATCTCTTTTCTAAGCTTCACCCTCTCTTTGTCTTCTTAATTTCAGAAGTTGAAATCATCAATCAATCCTTTGATTTATGTGATAGGGCTATATTTAAGATGAATATTTACCATAAATTAAAGATATCTTATAGTATTAGACTTGTTATTATAAAATATACTTTAATTAAGGAATTTTAATACTTTAAGTGCAAAATACTGATAAAAATATATTTTTAAGTACTAATCACAGGTTGCCTGTGAAAATAGACCGGTATTTGAATTTCAAAAGGAGCAGGTCGCCTGTGACAAGATATTGGTTTATTAAATTTCATTACCTGTGAAAATAGACCAGTATTTGAATTTCATAGGGAGCAAGTCACCCGTGACAAGATATTGGTTTATTAAATTTCAAAAAGGGGGCATGTCATCTATTATAATGAGATCATTTTCTTCTTTGGATAGATGGTTCACCCAACAAGTTAGGTAAACACTCTTCTTTACAAGCTCATTATGTAAAACCTTATTAAGATTTTGCTTCATAAGTGCTATAAAAAGGAAGAGCATTTGTAGCAACCTAATTTTGACCATATTTTTTAAAATTTTTTGAAAAAATACCAAAATAGCAAAAAAAAATGCCCAAAAATATTTTTTTAATGTATTTGTGTTGTTCTCAGTGTATTTTCCAAAGAATCTAAAATAAAAAGAAAAAGAAAAAGAAAACTGCATTTTTATTTTTAGTGATTTAATTGTAATTGTGGACCAATTTAAAAATTGAAAACACTCTCATTAAGTAATTCATTTTTTTAATGAAATAGTCTATAATCAATTCTCTTCCAAGGGTCCATTCTTCTTTGTTTTGTTTTCAAATTATTAAATGAATGGTTTTGATTCATTCTTGAAATCCAATGGTTAATCTTGGTTTGCTTTGCCTTCAAGCAATAGAAAATTTTTATCTATAAGTAGGTGGGAAAATGGGAAAACTTTACCTTGAAAAGATTATGTACATGTTTTGGTAAAGAAGAGAAGAAGGAAAGTGGAATTTCCTGTTGTAAGAATATAAAATTTTCTTACTAGAAATTTCAAAAACACATCTTGGTAAATCAAACATAATTTTCTCTATAGATAGCCACATTATGCTCTTTTGGTGTGAAAACAAAGCTAAGAGAAATGTGTTCAACTTTTATATAAGATTTTCTTAAAATAAGTGATTTTGATAGCTAAAATAGGGCTTGAAGTTAGGACTTAGAATTTGCCAGTTTTGAAAGGAAAATCAAGAAACAAATAAAAGGAGATTTTGGACCGAAGAAAAAGGAGGAGATTAAGGGAAAAGACCATGACTAAAGTAGATAACAAAAGAGATATGTTTTTTTACCATTAAAATAAGAGAATGAGAGGAAAAAGAATTAGAAGAAACTAGATATTGAGTGCTTCGTCAATCGATTCTCAGCAAAATAGTTAAATTTTCTTCTTAATTTTTGTTTAATGTATTCTAATAAGAACATGATTTATTTTATAGTTGTTTGAACTAAATTTATTTTTATAGAGCTTTGGTATAATTTAGTTTTGATTACACAATTTAAATTCCAAGTTATTTTATTTTGAACTTCTTTCATATTGAGTGTTCAGAGGTAGTTTATGATTAGAAACTTCCAGAATTAAACACCAATAGTTGATCAAAGGATAAAGATACTTTACTGTGATTTATGATATTGTAGAAAATTTCAAAGAACTTAATGAATCTTCAAATAATTTAATGTACATAAAGATATGTTGAATTATTAGGTGAGGATATTTTCAATGTTATTTAAGAGAAAAAATTAAATAATTAAGATATCTTTTAATCTGAATTTGAAATTTATTATAAGAAATAAGAAATTATATAGGATTAACCAGGTAAAATCAAAATTTCTAAATTTATTTTAATTATCCCTACAACCTTAAGTTTTATCTTCTATTTCTTTTAATTTACTTTAGTCAAACATTTTAGTTTAATTTAGGTGGTCAATTCTATAACATTTCAGGTTAATTTCTAAGTAGTAATTAATTTGGTAAATTTCAATACTCAATAACATAATTACTCTTTATCTTCATAAAAAATTACTATTTTTTGCAATTTTGTTCACTTGTAGTTATTATCACACCAAGTTTATAGTGTCGTTATCAGGAATTAATTATTTGTTATTGATATTGATACTAACAAGATTGTTACTTATTATTATTATTATTATTATTAAATATTGCTTTGGTTAAAAATCAATTTCTCTTTTCTTTTCTTTTTTTTCAGGATTTATAAGTGCATACCCCATTATAAACTATTAAAGCCTACACTTTTTTATCCTAAAATTTAGAGAACTTTTTTTTTTTCAGGATTTATAAGTACATACCCCATTATAAACCATTAAAGCCTACGCTTTTTTATCCTAAAATTTAGAGAACTTTATGTCAAATCAATAAAAAGAAGCAAGAAATCATCACATCTTCCATTACTATGGCGGAGTAGTGGAATGAAAAGGCAGATAGAGCTTTGAGGTACTATTTGGTTAATGAGTTTGCATTTAACATAATGAGGTTGACTATATAAGCATATAATTTTAAGATTAGTCATTAATAATTCAGATGATATAATAAACTGTTCAGTTTGCGAGCTATTAGAGGAGGAACCTAATGTTCATATCACAAATTTTATAAAGATTTCTAACACCTTTAAGCACAACAAAGTGACGAATCATGTTATTTGCTTGAGAGTTTTTCTTGTTCACTTAAAGAAAAAGCGAAGGCATGGCTAAATTTTCTACCATTTAATGTCATTACTATGTGGTAGGAGTTAGCAAAAAAACATTTAGGAAATTATTTTTCTCCAACTGAAATAGCATAGCTAAAGAATGATATTATCATATTTACTCAATTTAAGAATTAAACTTTGTATGAAGCATGTGAGAGATATAAGGATTTATTAAGAAAATGTCCATATTATGAACTTTTATCGTGACTTCAAGTCTAAATATTCTAGAATGGTTTAGGAGCTCCAAATACATTCATGGTTGATGTAATAGCTGTAAGAGCTTTAATGAGTAAAACTCATGAAACAACTTATGAAGTTACTATCAATGGCCTTTTAAGAGATCAATGTAAAGAAAGGCGATTAAATTTCTTAAACTTGATTCTATTACCATATTGGTACCACAAATAACAACTTTATCTAAACAACCATGTAAGATGAATGTTAATGTTATTCAAACTAATGTTGTGTGTGATTATTATGTATTAAATCTCTCAAAGATCAATTGCCAAGTTGAGAAGCCTTTTTCTCAACCAAATTCTAAGGAAGTTAATTATGTGTCCAATTTTCAACACCAAAACAATCCTTATTCAAGCATATTTAATCCTAAATGGTAAAATAACCTCAAATATTCAATCATGAATGTTGAAATCACCTTAAATTTTCATAAAGCAATAATTAAAGAGTAGTTAGACGACCTTAAAACTCTTCACAATAAGAAAAGAAGCTAACAATTGAGAAAATATTTATGCAATATATATAAATTATATATTTAGCGATCTAAAACAATTCAATTTTGGTTTATAACCTTGAAGCTCAAATTCATCTTTCAAACATTCTTACATGGAGGACATAAGAAACTTTACCAAGTAACACTATTATCAATTCTAAAAAACATACCAAAGCAATATCATTAAGAAGTTAGAGGAAAATTAAGTATCAACAAATAACAAGTTTTGTGCAAGATAGATATGATGATCATGAGGAGACAAGTCAAAGATGAGGGAATTGAAGGAGCAAATAACCAACCAATAAGCTGAAAATTAAAAAATAAAAAATAAAGAAGCTTTGAAACCCAAGAATTCTAAGGAGTTTATATCTAATACTAACATTCCTTGAATTTTTTATTCACTTATTTCTTTTCCTTAAAGACTTAAAAAATAATAAGCTTGATAATCAAATCTCTAAATTTCCTAGTATTTTTTAAACAATTGCATACTAATATTTTTCTTATTAAAACTTTCAAGCAAATGCCTAAATATGCTGATTTTTTTAAGAATATTTTATCAAATAAGTGGAAGTTAGAAAAGCATGAGATGGTAATGTTAATCGAAGAGAGTATCATAATTTTACAAAAAAGAGTTGCCTCCAAAATTAAAAGATTTAAGAAGTTTTACAATTCCTTGCACTATAGGAAATTCTTATTTTGATAAAACTTTATATGATTTTAGAGCTTGTATTAATTTTATTTCTGTTTTGGTTTATAAAAAATTAGGTATTTGAGAAGTGATTAGTACTTAAAAGTGTATTCCTGTATTAATTTTATTTCTGTTTTGGTTTTTAAAAAATTAGGTATTTGAGAAGCCTACTATAATCTCTTTACAATTAATAAATAGATTTATTGAGTACTCGAGAGGAATCATTAAAGATGTTTTGGTGAAGGTTGACACATTTATTTTTATGGTTGATTTTATTGTGATAAACATGGAAGATAATATGAAATTACCTTTGAATTTAGGATGACATTTCCTTGCTATGAAAATAACATTAATTGATGTCTAACTAATGAAACTTTATTTTAAGGGTTGGTGATGAACATATCACTTTTAATATATTAAAGACTATAGAGTTTCCTTCTGAATTACACTCTTGTTTTCAAATTAGTGATATAAACCTAATGGTGACTAAAACTTATAGGGTTGGATTTTTAAAGTTGCCACTTCAAGTAAGTCTTTCTACAACTTTTGAGTTCAAGAATAAAGAGGTTGGAGAGTGTCTAAGATATTTGGAAGTTGTACCATCTTCTCGTCCTTTTATAAAGTCAGAACATAAAGAGGTAGGTTTGTACATGACAACATCATCAAGTAAGGAACCACCCAAACTTGAGCTCCAACCTCTTCCATTAAATTCAAGGTATGCTTTCTTAAACTACGACTCTATTTTTCCAGTTTTCATTAATGGTTATTTGAGTGATGTAGAGAAGAAAAAGTTGTTAAAAGTGTTGATAGAGCAAATATGACTTTGGGATGAACAATCTTGGATATCAAGGGAATTAGTCTTTTGATTTGTATACATAAGATTTTAATATAAGATAGTTTTGAGCCGATTACTTAACCATAATAGAGATTGAATCCGTCATTATAAGAAGTGGTTCATAAAGAAGTTTTAAAGTTGTTAGATGTTGGAATTATTTATCTAATCTTGAATAGTACATAGGTAAGTTTGGTTTAAATAGTCTTAAAAAAGGGAATAATTATGGTAAAGAATGATAACAATGAACTCAAACCAACAAGGACAATAACAAGATGACGAGTATGCATGGATTATCAAAGACTTAATGATGCAACTTAAAAAGATTAGTTTTCATTACCTTTTATTAATCAAATGTTAGAAAGACTTGTTGTCCATGCATGTTGTTTCTTTTTAGATGGGTATTTCAAATACAATTAAATCATAATATTTCAAAGATCAAGAGAAGACTAATATAATGCTCCAACTATGTTCTGAAGATGTATGATGATTAATACTTAAAAATATATTTTTATCAAGGTTTTATGTCAGCATTTTGCACCTGAAGTATCAATAACTCCTTAACTAAAGCATGTTTTATAATAACAAGTCTGATACTATAAGATACCTTTAATTTATGGTAAATGTTCATCTTAAATACAAACCTAGCACGTAAATTAAAGGATTGATTGATGAGTTCAACTATTGAAATTGAGAAGACAAAGCGAGGGTGAAGCTTAGAAAAGAGATGTTGGTTCAGTCCCAATAGAACACTGTTCAGTTATTGGGTCATATCTAGAGCTGTAGATCTTGAATTTCAATTTTTTTTATATGGTTAGAAAGCTAAGACATATGCCTAACACAGTCATAAGAATGCAAGACTCAATTATGTTGTTTGTTCAGTTATTGGGTCATATCTAGAGCTGTAGATCTTGGATTTCAATTTTTTTTATATGGTTAGAAAGCTAAGACATAGGCCTAAAATAGTCATAAGAATGCAATACTCAATTATGTTGTTTGGAAGTCCAAATCTTAGCAACGGAAAAGTTCAAATCTGTCCTATATCCCAAATATTATTCAGTGTTCTGCCCATATCTTGAGTTCTAGAAGTCCAATTCAAATCTGTCCTACATCCCAAATATTATTGAGTGTTCTGCCCATAT